CCAACACACCCACCCTGGAGAAAAAAACCGTTTGTTCCAAATTAGAACCCTCAACTCTAACATGTGACAAGCATGTATCAAAAGAGATGAAAACTCCTTACTAGACCAAAGGAAATATTGATGAGGATAATAAATGGCAATTTCCATATTTGATAGTTGACTTTTTTATCTTAATTTTAAATTTTGAATTGTAATTTAATTTTAGTAGTTTAGATTTGAATTTTGAATTAGGTTTAAATGTAATAGTTATTAGTTTTGGCAATTGAGTGATTTGAGGGATTTTCCCAGATCTGCATTTTTGCTTTTCTATTTAAACACTACTGTAATTCAGATTTGAGGAGTGGATTATCGAACCAAGAAATTTGTGGCTAATTGAATTAATGAGTGTGTGAAACTCATGATTGTGAAACCCTAGCTACAATTCTCTAGTTTCTTCTCTCCTTCTTCCAGTCGCCAAACCTATTCTTATTCCATCCCTCTTCAAGCCTCCAGTCATCAACTCTCTCTAAACTCATTCTCAACACACCAAGCCCTAGCCCGCGAACCTATTCCCCTGACACTCCAACGAATCCCGTGTCTCCTCCGCCTCCGCCTCCACAAACAGCTGACATAAAAAACCTCACCCCAACTACAGCCGAACACCCCTCACCTCTTCTCTTTCTTCACTTGAGACATCCCTCACCCGGCACCCCAACTCCCCCTCCCATTCTTCTCCTCTGCCAAAACAGCCCCCCCTACTCCTCGTCGATTCCCCTTGTTCTTCTCCCCTTCGAGCAGCCCCACCAACAACCGAACCCCTGCCCTTTTTCCCCATCACAGGCCACCACCTCCTACCCTATTCCCCGCCGAAACCCCCCAACTCTTCACCTTCCCTCCAACCGCCTACCCACGAGTCATCACATCGCCTCATCCCGTCGTTACGTCGTCATCCAGTTCGACGTTGTCGCACACGTCGTCATTGCTCAGTTCACCGCAGTTGTCATCACTCAGATTCTCCGCCGTCGTCGTCAGCCAGTTCAACATCGTCGCACCATTTCCAGGGTCTCTCACGTCGATTTTGTTCAGACCGACGAAGGTTTCGTTTTCTCTTTATTTTTCTGTTAATCTCATTTTATTAGTTAATTGCATGAGTATTCCACCTCTAAACTATTATCATATATTCACTGTTTAGATTATATTTGTGAGTTGAAAGTAATTGAGCATGTGACTGTTTAAATTTGATATTGATTGTAGAACTTGAGCATAATAATGAATATTGCAGCTAAATTGATCGAGATTGGAATTAATCATAACTATTGATGCAAATTTCGCTAAATTCATCTGTCACATTAGTTGTTTTGAATTTAATTTCCTGCCAAAGATCATGGAATTTGGTGAAACGATGCATTATTCGATTTAGATCACTGATCTGATAGACCCTCTGTCCCGTTTTCGCATTATTTTTGGTACCAGAGCATGGTTCTAGGTTAGGAACTTTTATTTTTATTTTTTTCTAGATTAGTTTAATTGAGTCATTATTTGATTAAAAAAATTATTACCCTCCATCTTATTTAGCTGTTAGTGCATATCATTTATCTCATTTAGTTGTTAGTGCATGCCCACTCGCACATGGCTATCCTATCGATTAGGAGAATCAAGTGAATCAACTAGTGAGTCCAGCATGTCTCCCGAACTCCTTAAGAAATTCGATGAACCAGTAAGACAACTAGGTGTCGTAGCCCAGGAGTGTAGAGCTATCCGCGAGGCCTCCCAAAACGCAACTAACAAGACGTGCGCTAGGCTTGACGAAGCGCGTGTTACAACTCCGTCGCCACAAGGTCAAGGGAATGGTCATGGGTACATCGTTCATCGACCCCCACCTCAACCTGTGTCTGATCCACCAACCTTTGATGGTGAGCTCGGCCCACAAGCTTTCTTGAATTGGCTGAAAAACATGGATCGCTATTTTGACTGGTATGCCCTGTCAGAACCCCAGAAAATCAAGTTCACAGCAATGAAACTTACCGGATCAGCCTGCTAATATTGGTCCAAACTCGAAGCGTTAAGGTATATTAGAGGTGAGCTACCAATTTTAACTTGGCAAGAAATGGCCAACGAGCTAAAAAGAAAATACCTCCCACCTATAACGGAATCAAAATCTATTCTTGAGAAAACCGTTAACCAGGTCGTAGATTTGACAAAATCTAACTCTGAAAAGAAAATCCGAGATAGTAATATTGAAAAACCATGCATTTTTGTTTTTTCTGAAATTACCCCTGCAATTATGGAGTTGACCGAAGTTTCATGCAATGACATCACTTCGATTATTCTCCAAGCTACCCCTCTGATTACGAAGTTCACTGATGTTGTCCCTGAAGTTGCTCCTGAAATTGAAACTCCAACTCTTCCTGAATCCACTCCAGTGATTGAAAACGTTGTTAATATTCCCCACGAAGTCCTCCCGGACAAACATGACACCCAACACGTTTCTGATTTGGTTCCTAAAGTGAGTCATTCAGATTTCTGTATGGAAATTGAATCCAAAACTGAGCATAGTGAAATAACTACCATATTAGATATCAAACCTTCATGCATTGTCCCGACCGTCACTCACACATACACTGATCCATTTTGGGAATATATAGTGATTAGGGATACAAGTTTGAGCACGAGTGTTTTCATTTCCTTTCTCTCTCATATTAAGCGCACAGAAACACTCCTCTTTCATGCATTTGTTTGCATGCTCCTCACTATCACTGCTAGAATAGGAAATTTGTTATTCATATTAACGAAAGAACACCTAATTATTCCATTTGATAGAGGACGTCATGCATTTTAGACACTTCGTTGAGTTTACATCTGCCATTGATCGCATTGTTCGAGACTGTATTTCATACAAAGTCATTTGAGTTGATTTGCATCATTTTATTTTGATTTGCATTGATCATATATTGGTGAATCAGTGATCTAATTTGAATAAATATATTATTAACTAAAATATATGATATGAAGTCAGGACATAATTTAAAATTGTTAATGCTCATATTTTAGATGATTTGGACATGTCCAATACAGTTTCTTTTATAGCTGTTTGAGATTTGACATAATATTTATGAACTTTATCAACTCTTGAAATAATTAATGGTAACATTTAAATTGTCGATTTGGTCATAGTTCTATTCTCAATATTGATTGATTAAGCAACTCACGATGTTATTGACAGTCCACTGATACAAGCCTGACCCTAACCTATTGTTACTGAGAGCTCTTTCACTTTACCTTACTTCTATATATTCACCCATGCAACAGTGAATTTTGATAATATTTTAGATGGTGAATTTATAATGCAATCTAGCTAATGATTTGAGATGCAGGAAAGTAACTGACGACAGATTAAGATGCAAACAGAGTATATTAAAGATAACAAGTTTCTGCAACTAACTCGACGGAGTCGAGTTTTCTCCCACCTGGGGAGAATGATGAGGACAAAAAATAGCAATTTCCATATTTGATTAGTTGACTTTTTTATCTTAATTTTGAAATTTGAAATTTGAATTGTAATTTAATTTTAGTAGTTTAGATTTGAATTTTGAATTAGGTTTAAATTTAGTAGTTATTAGTTTTGGCAATTGAGTGATTTGAGGGATTTTCCCAGATCTGTATTTTTGCTTTTCTATTTAAACAACACTGTAATTCAGATTTGAGGAATGGATTATTGAACGAAGAAATTTGTGGCTAATTGAATTAATGTGTGTGAAACCTCATGGGTGTGACACCATAGCTACAATTCTCCCGTTTCTTCTCTCCTTCTTCCAGCCGCCAAACTCAATCTTATTTTGTCCCTCTTCAAGCCTCCAGTCATCAACTCCCTCCTTCCCTTCTTCAACCACCAAGCCTTAGCCCTTCCTCTTCCTAACAGCACTAAAGCCCATGAACCCATTCCCCAGCACTCTCAGCGGCAATCCCGCGTTCCTCCACCTCCGCCTCCCACAAACAGCTGACAAAAAAATCTCACCCTCAACTACAGCCGAACACCCCTCACCTCTTTCTCCCTTCACCTGCGACACTCTCACCCGACACGCCCACTCCCCCTCCCATTCTTCTCCTCTGCCAAAACAGCCCCCCTCCTCCCCTACTCGCCGTCGATTCCCCCTGCTCTCCTCCCCTTCGTGCAGCCTTGCCAGCAGTCGAACCCCTGCTCTTTTCCCCACCACAGGCCACCGCCTCTTACCTTTTTCCCCGTCGAAACCCCCAACTCTTCACCTTCCCTCCAGCCGCCTACCCATGAGTCATCACATCGCCTTGTCCCGTCATTGCGTCGTCATCCAGTTCGACGCCGTCGCACACGTCGTCGTCGCTTAGTTCACCGCAGTCGTCGTCACTCAGATTCGCCGTCATCGTCGTCATCCAGTTCAACGTCGTCGAACCATTTCCAGGGACTCTCACGTCGATTTTGTTCAGACCGACAAAGGTTTCGTTTTCTCTTTATTTTTTTGTTAATCTCATTTTATTAGTTAACTGCATTAGTATTCCACCTCTAAACTCTTATCACATATTCACTGCTTAGATTATATTTGTGAGTTGAGAGTATTTGAGCATGTGACTGTTTAAATTTGATATTGATTATAGAATTTGAGCATGATAATGAATATTGCAGCTAAATTGATCGAGATTGGAATTAATCATAACTATTGATGCAAATTTCGTTAAATTCATCTGTCACATTAGTTGTTTTGAATTTAATTTCCTGTCAAAGATCATGGAATTTGGTGAAACGATGCATTATTCGATTTAGATCGCTGATCTGATAGACCTACTGTCCCTTTTCACATCAAATATCCTTATATTGAAGGAGGCAAAAAGGTGATTTTTGGGATTGGAAAGCTACTTTCATCTTTTGTTATCACGTGCTTGAACACGGGACAGATTAGAGTTGACGGTGCTTATTTGGGGATCAAATAAGAATTTTTCATATGAGATTTGGTGGAATAAAGAAGTTTAGGGGTTTATGTGCAATAACCCCTAAGGGGGTTTAGTGCAACACCCTACGGAGCTCAGGGGGATTTCTGAAATTAACCCTTCTCATTATCATCACCTGAGCCTTCTACATCAATTTGAGATAGGATAGGAGCATCTATACTATTTTAACACCAGCTCTCTATGAAGAAGACTATTAATTGCTAGCAAGGCGTGTCCCAGTAGTAAAGTTGGGTGTTGGATTACATACCCTAGGTCGAGGAGCGGGCTACATTAAAAAAAGGGTTAATTGTAAATACACACCCTATACAGCTATACTTACAAAAGAATAGGGAGTCAATCTGCAACACATTGATGTCAAGTGACAGCCATGTGATAGGTTCAGAAGATGGAGAGAACTCTGTTTGGGTTTCAGTGGTTTTAAGTGTTAATAAAGAAATCTAGGATAATTAGTGGTTAACCCTATAGTACTGGGGATGTATCTGCAATTAACCCTGTAAAAAGAAAAAAGAAAAAAAAGGTAGATAGTTTCACGTGAATTTTGCAAAGAGCAACTTAACAGAGAACAAATAATGATCCAAAAAAACATGTGTAATGAAACTGACCTGATTGTTACCAATGAGATATAAATGAAATCCAGTAAGGCCACCAACAAACCATAGAGATATAAAACAATATATCATCAGTACCACAGATGCAGGCGAATGTTTCATTGCCTTCCACACTGTTGGATAATCATCATTCATGAGAAACTTGATGTACAAGGCACACATTGAGAACACAAATATGCAGAGAAGAGTTGAGGATGACACAAAGAAGAAAAAGAAGCGATAGTTTCTCTGCAATAAGATAAAGTCCTGAAGTAAGCCATGAGCACTCAAGAGGTCTGAATGTAACATATCCAAAGGGTAAGATATAAAGTCAGCAGAAATTTTTAAAGGTACAAGGAGAGGCAAATATTAGAAACATAAGATTGAATTATGTAATAATTAAATTCAAACAGTGCCTATAAGTCTAAATCCATTTATTTCATATGTTTCGCGACTTTCGCCACTGATAAGAAAAGGTGGAGAGGAAGAAGCAACAGAGAAGTGGGAAGGGAATGAGACCGGTATTGCACCAGTCCTTATTGGAGTGAGATTCTTGGTTTTGCACCCTCAGTTGCTGATTAGAAAATTAGATATACGGTGTTCTTAATGAGCAAATATTTGCAACACAAAGACAATCTTTCAACAATAGTTGCCAGCAAAAATATATTAGCAAAGGAAAAAAAAACAATATAACAAAAGAATTAATAGGTGTGCAAGTATGCATAAACTGAAATGAGTCAAGCTAGCATGAAAAGTTTGTATGAATAACAATGTCGATTATCGTATAGACTTGAAATATGATAAGCATTCTCACAATAATCTTGCACATATCAAAATTCAGAGGACAAAATAAATATCATGGGTGTCAGTTAAAACAACACATTAAAATGGGTAAAGTGGAATACCAGTCCAACGCATTGTCCAACCCAAGGGCAGTGATGATCAAAGCGTTCTACACAATTGTTGCAAATTGAACAATGAGAACAACGCGGGGGACGATAGACCATGCAAGTGTCACAGTATTTTACTTTCACAGGCATTCCGTGGACCATGACATCTTTGGTGCGAGGAAATTGCAGGCTTGGTGTGTGCCTTCCCCCTCCAGATGGAGCTGAAGTCTCATAAGAGAACTCTTCCTCTGGAGGATGTGAAGCGCGTGGAATGATACCCGGATCTCGTGCTGAAGTAAGGAGCAACAGCAACAGTACCTAAATTATCAGGGTGTAGGTAAGTACAGATAAAGCGGAAGTTTGTGTATATGTGTGCAAGTTAAAAAAAACATAATACTTAGAAAGAAAATTGCCATTTCTGCAATAAAACCTGTTATCCAGCAGTCGCAAGCAAGCTTTTGCACTAATGGAACTGCTCCAAGTTAATTAATAAATATTCAATAAGAAACAAAGAACCATGACTTTATCAATCGCAATCAAGTTCATCTCAGCAATCAATATGTCATGTCCTAAAAATATACATCGCAAACCCAAGCCAATATATCACAGTTAACAAGTTGCATATTAGGATCTCATTATTTAATGGAATTTTTTTACCATTGTATAGTTCAACTAATAGTTTGCCTCGTGATTTTTTAAAGTCAAATGCCTTCAATGCACTTTATATAACAAGGAGCTTTATTACTACCACTACTTCTAGCCTTCTCATATATGATACTTATATCAGCTTCCAAACCTGACATAAACACAAATGTATAATAGCAAATCCCGAATAAACTCACATTAGCACATTAAAAACAGTTATAAAGCATATAATGTGCATAAGTTCAATTTGTAACAGCACAAATAGGCAGGCTTTCCTTGAAGAAAATACTTGGGGGATTTACCAGTTATTAGTCAACTAGTAAATTGTTGCTAACTATAAATTGCGTAGGACATTCAGTAAGCTCACACTAAAAATATAATGTCTTAATGTCAAATCATAAAGAAAGTACATGACAAGCACACATTGCCAGCTGATTTTCAGGTTAGCATATAATGAAAGAAAGTGAAACATTGAAACGTCGTCTGAAAAGTTCATGATATTCATTCCACTAAGCAGAAAGAGACAATAATCCATTAACATTACATGATAAACATGTCACAGTCTGAAAATGGAATATTAGTGCTGGCACGTAAAGCTTGTGTTAGTGTTCTGTGAATGCATTCCTATGTTTCCCTATTATAACACAAAAAAGTTTAGAAGACTAACATAGATAGTAAATGCTATTGTAACCACCAATATTGCATATCCTGCATTATGTTGAGAAAATCTATGAAGAAGATGTCTTGCAACAAATACACAGAATATCACGATAGGAACCACTATGAGTGAAATGGTGATGAGCAGTGACCGAGCATCAGGTCCAAATATCAACCTCCCCCCACATATAAATACCTGCAGTGGGAAAAAGAAGAGTTGATCATACAAAAATATTGCTTAAGCAGTTGAAGGAAAATATAGGAAAACATCAAACATAAAATTCACCAGCAAGACCTTCATTAGTTTTGAGATAATAACTATATGTTTAGCGAATAGCAGAGAATTTTCGCTCTGGACCATTGATACTCAACCATTTTGTATCCTTAATAAACAATAATTAATTGAAAGCAATATAGATCATTTGGTTAAAGTCCACGTAAGCCATCTAAAAGCCAGATATTTGGGTTCAAAACTCCAACATCTACTCATTGTAAACAATTGAAAACGACATATACACAAGCATAAAATTATTGATTATATGATATAACTTCATTACATATATGATAGCTTCATGTGTTCCAGCTTTGAGATGCAATCTCAAAATGATTGAAGCAGATGTTAGCAGATCAGCAAAAGCAGATAGGATTCATGCTTTCTGACATATGAGAACATGCAATTAGTCATTGTGGTAAGTGTCTAGATTGTATAAAGTTGAGTACAGAACATTTCGCCGATGTTCAATTTTAAGTGAGAACTTGCTTATTATACCTCAGGTAAGTTATTTTCATGAAAGCCAAATGCTAAATTCTTGCAGTATTTATGACTACTATGTTTCATACAAAGATTTCGGTTTTGGATATCGATCATGAATGGCTAAGGACTTTACATCTTGTTCAAATAAGTTGGAGTTTTTCTTATTGATACATCAATATCTTTGCAGTATATGTGTCTCAAGGAAAAAAATAAATTTTAGAAATATTTGCAAGCACGTAAGTCTTGTAATCAGGGAAAGCAAGTGCCTAGATGAAAAGTAAGGCCCACTTTAAACAGTAGAAGAATATTGAAACAGAGAATCATCAGGCAATAAGGATTTTTTGGGTAGGACTGTGCTCTTCAGTCTCCCAATTTGATGAATGCCAGTGGGATATCAATATGTAAGGTGATTAGGGACTATCATCTTAATGCAGACATAGGCCACACAAGTGGTTAGTTCTTCGAGAGTTCCAAATATTGTGCATATTTAGGATAAATGTCAGCTATTAAGTTAGTAGAATATTGTTGTTTATTGTACATGTTTCTCGGGATTGAGGAACTAGAGAACTGTGACACTTGTATTTTCAGCTCCTTGCATAATGTAATTTGCTTAACCATTGTGCTTAATGGCAAACAATTATCACCAAGTGGAACTGATCACTTCAGTTATCACATTTCTGCATTCGTGGCAATCTACAAATCTCAGCTTCGTCACTGTCATACCTTAGCATATCTATGAAAAATTTAAGTTTCGCAAAGTCACAGAAAGATGCATACATATACAAACACTAGAATGAACAATCACCATTTCACAAACTCAACCCCCCATTACAGCAAGTACAAGCAACTAAAAAGGTTCTCCAATAAACACAAAGCCAAAAACTCTATTATTACCAAAATTCTCAACTACTCATACAAAATGAACTGAGCAAACATACCCAGATGCTAAATTCCACCCATCAAGCAAATCCAACATGACACGCTCAAAGAACTAAAAGATTCACACATACCCACATGCTAAATTCACCAAAGGTAGCAAATTAAACCTTGGGCAAATAAATAGCCCAACTATTTTCACACGCCCAGATGCTAAATGCAATTAAACAAATCCCAAAACCAAGAAATGAAATCGTAAAAAGCTTACATTGTTTCCTTTCCAAACTTCATAGACTCGCTTAGCCATTGAAAAATCGAACCAGCAATCGACCTACGCTGGAAGAAAATCGAATATTTGGAACTCACGCATCCTACATCGCCCTCTCGATTGCAATAGGGTTTTGATTGAGCTCTTAACTTGGAAACAGCCAAGCAAAAGAAAATTTTTAGGGGTTTTCTTTTTCTTTTGGGCTTTTCATTTTAAAAACCCAAAGTTTCACGTTGATTTATTCTTGGACCCACCCGTTCCCAAAACCATTTTCAAACCTAAAACTATCATATTGATGTCATATTGAATTTTCATTTTGAAACCAAGTTTCTTTGGTTTTACTTGTTTGCTGTATTTTTACCCCTAATTAGCTATATTTACATTTAAGCAGCTACTTTGTGTAAATTATTATATTTTAAGTTGTTAATAATTTATAAGAGTAAATTATATATAATCTCATAGTAGCACTAATCATCTCTCAATTATTTTACTATGACTTGAATTTCTCATTCTAAGAACGATAAAACTGTGATAATTGTCCTCGCTCTATGAATTGAGTGGCATTAAGGGCTGTGCTATTTTTTGAGAAGTGATAAGTGTTGTTTAATATATGATGAAGGGGTTATCCACAGTACACCTTTTCTAAGAGTCTATTATTGTTGGAGCTTGTAATATGTTGCTTATATAAAAGTAACATATATAAGCTGCTGAAAACAGCAGTCCGGTAATTATATATCATAAACTACTAAAAAGGTTGTTAATGTGTTTGATAGAACTGTGTTTAATGATCATTATTAAAAAATTATCAAAATATATAATGAATGTGTGGAATATAAGCTAAAAAAGATAGAATATGCTTTTAAAGGCATCCCTCAAGTTGCTTGAAAAATACTTCCTTAAAAAATAGAAGCAGCTTCAAAAATCATAATAAGAAAATTTCACCAAACAACATTATGTGTTGCTTCTTGAAAAAAAAAAGCAGAAGCACTTTAAAAAAAGGCAAAACCAAACGGCCATAGATACTACATACAAAACTAATGAATTATAGGAAGCGGGACTAAAAGTCTAAGGGCTTGTTTGGATTGAGGGGAATGAGGGTGAAGGAAAGTTAGGGGAACCATTCACCTCCATTCATCTTGTTTGGGAACACTTAGGAGGTGAAGTTAATTCACCCTAGTTCCCCTTGGTTCACCCCCTAATAGTATAAAAATTGTTACCCCCCAAATTGGGGTGTAACCAAGGGGAAGGGAACTCCCTTCCCTTCCCTTCCATTCACTCAGTTTCTCTTAACTTCCCTTCACCCCTTACAAATCCAAACAGGCCCTAAGGTAAGGGGTTGTTTGTTTAGGCCAAAAAGCCCAAAAAATAGGGTTAAGAAAACTAACACAAGAAAATGAGCCTTATTTTTCTTTACAACCCGTTGTTTGTTTCGCAAAACGAAAAAAGGAAGTGGGGGAATTAGGGCTTCCGCGATCGATTTTTAGCGGTTTTGTTTTCCGCTCTGAAGCTCCCGATTTTGCCGAAAAATAACGGAAAGTGAGTTCCGTCTCTCTCTCTCTCTCTCTCTCTCTCTCTCTCTCTCTCTCTCTCTCTCTCTCTCTCTCTCTCTCCTCCTCATCTCGTCATCGCTCCCTCTCTCTCTCTCGCCTCTAATCCCTCGTTCACTTGCCCATAAATCCCTCGTCATCAGCGGTTTTTGGAGCTTGAAGCCGACGAACACGAATCCCTCGTTCCCTTGCCTCTAATCCCTCGTCAGTGGCGGTTTTTGGTGCCTGAAGCCGACGAAGATGAACTGGTAAATGCCCTAATTTTTTTCATATTTTTTTTATAATTCAGGTAAATGCCCTAATTTTTTTCATATTTTTTTAGTCTGTAATCTATTTTATGTGTGGTTGAATTGGGTGAAAAGGTTAATTCTTTTGTAGATTAAAGTTTAGATCTTCATTGTATGTTCGAAATTTAGATTAGGGATGTACGGTACAGAGGAAGAATTTGTAAATTATGGAAATTATTAAGTTTTGGGATAAAGAAGGAAGTTATTAATTAAGTTTGTGAGTCACTATACTTGAAATTTCTTTATATGGTTTGATCAGGGGAAGAACGTGAACACAACATATATTACATCAAATCCCTCCCTTGGTTTGCAAGTTAAATTGCTAGCCAATACAAAACTGAAATAAATAAAATTGGAAGGTAATTACAATAAATATATTAAGTTATGTAAGGATTAAACTGAAATAAATAAATAAAATTGGAAGGTAATACAAAAAAAGAAATGTGTGGATATTAGTTTATGTAATGATTAAGTTTCCCAAAGTAGTTGAATTTTTATGAAATTTGCATGATTTATTAAACATATGTTCTTGCATGCAAGTGGGTGATAGTGCTTAAGAAAAATGTATAAAGAAAAATAAGATTTATTTTTAATTGTATGATTGTCAAAATTATGCACGGGAAAAAAACATAAAACACACACGCGCTCACACACAAATGAGACACCTAAACACCCAAACATTAGTCCAATTTCAATCAATTGGACCTTGTTGTCTCGAATGAATAGTATTAGTTAAGTAATTTTTACACATACGTTTCAATAAGAAAATTCATGTGCAGACTAACTTATTGACCTTAATAGCACATGTTCCAGCACCTCAATAGCACTTATTTCTAAATGACTTATTTCATTTGCCTTTAATGTTGGTATCTACTTTAATATGACGCTTGTATTTTAGATGGATGGTGAACTCGATGAAGAGACAGTAGTTAATATGTGTTCGGGTACTGCACTATTTGTTTTAGTTATGATTATGACATTCATGAGGAGAATGCAAAGTAGACGTAGATCTATACGTGCAAGTCCTAGTGAGGAGAAAATAAAGCAATATCAAAATAGAAAACAACACATGGATCAGATATATAATAGATTTAGTGATAGTTGTGTCAACTATGTTAGAATGCACAGCGGTACTTTTTATGAAGCTTGTAGAAATCACGAGGAGGAATGATTTATTGCGAGACTCACGACATGTTGTAGTGGAGGAGCAACTTGCTATGACTTTGAATATTTTGGGGCATAAAACTAAAAATCGAAGTGTTAGGTCATATTTTATTAAATCTGGCGAGACTGTGAGTAAGTATTTTAACAAAGTGTTAGAAGCAACTTGCCACATACGTCTATGCTTTTTGAGACAAGCACGGAATGAAGTTTCACAGGAGATCCTTAGCAACCCTCTATACTATCATTATTTCAAGCTATTTTCTCTTTAATCTGTGATTAAAAGCATGTTTATTCAATTTGCCACAAAATATTCAATAGTAATTTTTTTTTGTTTTCTAGGATTGTATTGGTATGATAGATGAGACACATGTTAAAGCTATGCTACCTGCTAGTCTTCAACCACGATTCTGTGATCGAAAAGGTGTTACACAAAATGTTTTAGTGGCTTGTACTCTAAATAAGTTGTTCACTTACGTATTAGCAGGGTGTGAAGGATATGCAAATGACTATAGAGTCCTTCAAGATGCATTGTCTAGGATCTGGAAATGTTTACTATTTTGTAATGTTCATTTCTTATCAAATATTTCTAATTTTGTTCAATGTTGTCCAAATAAGGATTTGATACATTCCTTAACTATGCAGGACAAGAGTATGAGTAGTTCTAAACTTAGGGAATACATCAACAAGCCCATGAAACATTATGAAGACCTTGCAACTATTACTAGAGATGATGTTGCTAGAGGAGATTATGCGGGAGATGTGTTGGACAAATTTGGTGGTAGTGCACATTTTAGTATTGGTGATGATGATGATGATATTAGTATGCCAAAGGAGAACACGCCTAGCTATGTCTCTTTAGATGAAGATGATATTTCACCACCGAAGGTTCCAACTATGCCCTCAAAATTCAATCCATCTTCTAGTGTGAACAAAGCTAAAAATAACGTGTCAAAAATACGTAAAGGAAAGGGGGGTCTAGTGAGGACACGGTGCTTATGCGTGAGATAGTAAATGAGATTAAACAATTCACCTCATCTATGAGCATGGTAAGTATGCATTGGACCGAGAAGTTGGCAAAAGCTATATTATGATGATGAATTTGACATAAAAATTCTTAATAAGTTTTATCAACAATTGCATGAGAATGAATCACAAGCTAGGTTGTTTATGGGGAGGCCAACTGTTATGCAAAAGAAGGTGTTGACTGAGTTCATGAAGAGTCAACCTTTTGATTAGAGTGGTGGAAGGTTGGATTGCCTAGCTTTTGGCACATTTTTGTGAAACTAGCTACTTATATCAATGCTTGTGTAATTATTTTTGTATGTAAATGAGCTAGATGATTGCTCATCCTTTCGCCTAACAACTATGGTAGATGTATTAAACTTACATTTGTGCAAAACTAATGCTACTATCTCTATGTTGATGATTCATGTTATACATTTTATACATTTTATTAGTATGCTAATGTAAACTTGTTTGACTGGTTTACAAGTGGGGGTAAGGTGAATGATTTCACGTCGATGAATTAAAGTTAAAGAGGTATGCATATTTTGTGTTATGATGATGGGCTATGACTTTTAGAATATGCAGCTAAAGTTTATATCAACAAAATATTGGCGAGGCAATACATTACAGCCAACATGGCTATTATAAACTTCATGGCAAGGCAGATAATGAAGAAAAGAGCTTTTTCGAAGCATAATTTTTATAATTTAGTTTGAGCTTTGGTTTGATTTCCATCGTTGGGTTGTTCTGAGCACATCAAACTCGCTTGCCTTATTCATTTCCATCAACATTCTGTTTTCTGTTTTCAATGCTTGTGGTTTCAACCTTATCTCGTACACAGTTGTTGTGTTGGATATATAAAGTTAGATTTTGTTCTCTGGTTTGCTGGTTACATGTTGAGGATTCATGTACTTTTCTCTTTTATTTGGTGTTTTCATGATTATATGCACAAGTTGAGATCAATCATGCATATCTGCTCAGTTTGAGCTTGTTATTTGATGGAGCTATGCCACTTGATTATTCTGAATTTCCAGGCTTGCTCAGTTTGAACTAATATGACAGCAGCTAGAACTAGCACGAGAGCCACTAGAACTAACAGGGGCTCAACTAGAACTAACATATCACTAGAACTAACGTTTATATTAGAAATAACGCTAGCTAGAATGTTAGAACTAATATGATAGCAGCTAAAACTAGCACGCGA